GGTTGAGCATTGACCCATGCACTAAGAGGTTACCAGTTCGATTTCCAGTCATGGCACATGCCCAGGTTGTGGGCCCAATCCCCAGTGAGGAGTGTGCAGGAGGCAGCCAATCAATGTTCTTTCTCATCGATGTTTCTCTCTCTCTCTCTCTCCCTCTCACTTCCTCTGTCTCTAAAATCAATAAAGGGGGGAAAAAAGTTAACATTAATCTGTGCTTACCGTATATCAAGAGTGTAACATGCAAGATTTCATTTAGTCCTTGGTTGATGGCATTAATCCGATTTTACAGATGAGAAAACAGAGGCCTAGAGACTTGCCCAAGGTCATAAAGCTTGTAAGTGGTGAAGCCAGGATTTGAATCCAAGCAGCTCAGATGTGGGCTTGGGCTTCTAACCATTATGACATTTTAAGTACAGTGCTTGGGCACATCTACCAGATAGCAATGTTGCAGTTGGAGAATAAAAGCGTGCCAAAATTGTGAAAGCACCACCAAACCTGCACATGATTCACACGGGCTCAGAGAGTTAAGATTTAAGTTGTAAAGAAAAGAAAATTTTTATCCTCTTTAACTAAAATACCAAGAAAACCTGACTTTTTCCCATAGAAACATATCAATATACCATAACCCAAATTTTGATTTCAATGTTTTTTAAATTCAAACACTTCTTGTCTTTGAAGAATCACTATATGAATAAATTTCATTGATCAAAATAACTTCTAAAGTTTCTAAGCCTTTCTACTTTCAAGACTAGGTAAAGTACCTGCTACATGTACTATCTCCTATGATACCATAAAGGCCATGTTTTCAGAAAGAAAAATGATCACAAAATAATCAAAACATTTTTCCATTTCCACTAAACAAAATATATTTGACTGTATCAAATAAATAATTTAACAACTAAGAAGTATGTCCTTCATGAAGCAAGAATTCTGTAATGCGAATGGTAGTCCTTCTACCACATCCAGAGTTTCTAGTCCCTCCCTCTGAGATTATGGGGAGGTGCATTTTAATTACAGACATTCATTTCTCTTACACTGTTTTCTGAGCTTAACAAATAGTGAAAGTATTGTACTATTTATCAGAAATCTCTAAGGATCTAACATTAAAAGGCATGCTCCCGCAAGAAGCAATGGTCTGCCAAGTGTCTCATTTGAAGATGAGTAAATGCTGCCGTAGGAGTTAGACTTGGGTGTATCTGAGAAAGTAGATTAAGGACCCACTGGAGGAAATTCAGAGGGTTACTAATAACACAAAACATTATCTAGATGTATTCAGCTTGGAAAACACCAGATATACATGAGACAACATCTTTGCCATCAAAGACGACCATTACCCTACATAGGCTAAAAGTTAGAAATGAAGATGAAGAGGAAAAAAGAAAGGACACTACCGAATGCCAACGACTTGGAAATAAGTCTGAGAAGGGGAAGTGTGAGCCTTAGTCCCAACAGGGGCGACGCGGAGACGCAGGCTGCCTTCTTCCACGACGGACGTCCAGGCGCTGGGACTAGAGCACAGTTACTCGGGGATGGGACAGCGCTCGGCTCGTGTGTTTTTGGTTTTGTGTATAACAAATCCTCACTTTCCAGGAGCTCTGCCACTTATCTAAAAAGTGTGATTTTCCTGGCTTGTGAGAAATATAAAATCCATGAGTATGAGACTCCCCAGAAGAGAGAACAATGATACAGCAGAAAGCAGAAACTGCTTGCAGATGTCCATTTAAATTAAGCCAAAATTCAAATATTTTAATGGAAAGAGAATCATATACATTTTCTTAATTTAGTAGGTTTAAGGTATTCATATTATCACATCAATTGTCCATATAATTTTAACAAAATTTTCCCATTTTAAGTATTTCAATATTCATACAATAAGTTTCAATAAAATTAAAATTTCAACTCTTAAGAATATTAATTATGAAATGAATCCTTTATGGATTCAAGAGTGAGTGGTCAACCCTATTTTCAGTTATCACTTTAGAACTTTATATACCACTACTTGCTGTTTATGAAGATTTGAAAGGAAAGAAGTAATTTCTTAGCATAAACTCAACTTCAATATAATTAACAAAGTAACATATTTATTCACAAAAATCCTTGGGGAAAAAAACTTAGCATATTAAATGTATAAGAATTTTTTCTTTGAAGGGATAACATTTTTTCAGAAAAAATTCCGAAGATAACCTAAGCACGAGAAAGTTCCTTAGTGGTTCCTTAGTTTCCAGGGCAAAGTCCTCACCATCTGGCAGGAATTTCTGTGACAGCATCTACAAGTGGCTTTCCTGAGTCTGCCTGAATACTTCCAATGACTGGGAGTGGGGTTTACCCATGGTCCAGCCTGTTCTATTGCAGATGAGCTCTGATTGTGGAAAAGTTCTTCCTGTTGAATAGAAATCTATATTCTTTAAAAAAAAATTATTTATTGATTTTAGAGAAAAAGAGAAACATTGATTTGTTGTTCCACCCATTTATGCATCCATTGGTTAATTCCTGTGTGTGCCCTGACTTGGCATATTGGGAGAATGTTCTATTTTTTAATTTTATTTTATTTTACTTTTTATCCTCACCCGAGGACATTTTTCCATTTTTTGTTCAGGTAGAGTGGGAGGGAGAGAGAAGAACAGAGAGAGAGAGAAACATCGACGTGAAAGGAACACACCGAGTGGCTGCCACCCGCACAACCGACCAGGGCCGGGGACAAACTGCAACCGAGGTACGCGCCCTTAGCGGGAACCGAACCCAGGTCTCTCAGGACCGCAGGCCGACGCTCTAACCGCTGAGCCAAACCGGCCAGGTCTGGGAGAATGTTCTAAACAACTGAACTACCCAGCCTTGACAAAATCTTATTCTTGAAATTTCAACCCATTGGCTATAGTTCTATCATCTACAAGCACCTTCAATCCCAATTCTTCTGTTCCCTAGCTGAAATCAGCACAGCAAGTCCCATCACTCTGTGACTTGGAGGAGGAGAGGGTGGAGAGGGAAGATGTGTGACAGAGCCACGGAAAAAGGGATAGAAGCCCACCAAACATTTGATTCACAAGAATATTTTATGCCAGATTCAGTGACAAACATAGATACCCAAGACGACAAAATATAAAGTGTGTATGCATGTATGTATGTATGTGTTTGTATACATGTGAGTATATGTAGACTCATATGAATATATATGTGTAATCTACGTGTACTGAGTATGTAAATATGTGTATTCTGTATGTGTATGTGTATATGTATGTATATGTGTGTGTGCATATGTACATGTGAATATAAAATTCCAAGCCAGCTAATAGGAAAATCTTCAAACTATGTTCATCTGTTCTTTTTTTAAAATTTTTAATCCTCACCTGAGGAGATTTTTCCACTTATCTTCAGATAGTGCGGGAGGGAAGGGGAGAGGAAAAGAGAGAAAGATTAATGTGAGAAAGATACATCAACTGGTTGCCACCTACACGGCCAGGGACAAACTGCAACCATACGTACATACATGCCCTTAGCTGGAACTAAACCTGGGACTCTTTGGTCTGCAGGCCAACACTCTAACCACTGAGCAAAACTGGCCAGGGCTCAAACTATGTTCAATAAGGAAATGCAAACATGAATTTTTTTTTTTTTCCTCACCCGAGGACTTTTTTTTTTTCCATTTTTTGTTCAGGTAGAGTGGGAGGGAGAGAGAGGAACAGAGAGAGAGAGAGAAACATCGATGTGAAAGGAACACATCGAGTGGCTGCCACCGCACAACCGACCAGGGCCGGGGACAAACTGCAACCGAGGTACATGCCCTTAGCGGGAACCGAACCCGGGTCTCTCTGGACCGCAGGCCGACGCTCTAACCGCTGAGCCAAACCAGCCAGGGCGCAAACATGAATTTTTTAAATATTATTTTTAACAAGAATACAAATACACACAGCTGCTAAACACTGCAGAAACTGCTAACAGATTAGAGAAGATGAAGGGCATTCAATAAACTTCTGTTTATGTTATGGCAAAAATATGATTATTTCAAAATACCTAAATCATTACATGTTAAGCTTATTATCTAGACATTTGCTATCAAGTGGATGAAGAAGTTCCCAACGAGTGCATCAAAATCAATCAATCACTCTACTCGGTGCCTTTCTGCCCGTTTCTCCCGGGAGTCTCAGCTGGGAGGGTGCAGGCCAGGGGCGCTGAGCCCTCCTGCTGAGGCTCGGGCCTCCCTTTCAGTCCCTCCACCCCACTTGCTCTGGGCTTCAGAGGACCGCAAAGTAGCAACTCCCCACAGAAAGTCGGGCCGCCCTAAGGCGAACACAGCCCTTACTGGCAGGATGCTCAATTATTAAAGCTAAAATGTGCTCATTAGATTTCAAGACAAGAAAGAAAACAAACATACAGAAAACTCTTCCACAAACACAGAAAACCGTTTGGGACATTGTCAGGATGTCCAGTCAGTAGAACGCAACCTAGAGTTAATCAAAACATTACAAAATTGTATTCACCGAAAAGAATAAGACTATATTTAGATCTAATCAGGTAAAATGATAAACCTACATAAATAGTTTTAGGTATCATAAAATTAGAAACAAATAACTGAATAATATAATAACTTTTTCTATGTAATACATAAACCCATTCCAAATTGCATAGCCTGGTAAAGTAAAAAAATTTTAATTTTGACCCATGGGCCACATCTGACATATCACCTGTTTCTGTTTATGTCTCCAAACTGCCGATGCCTGTTTTCAAGTTACATCGTCAGAGTTGAGAAGTTGTGACAGAGACTGTTCTGGCCCCAACAGCCTAAAATATTTATTATCTCTTCCTTTGCAGACCCCTGTCCTATATAATCAGAGATCTTAAAATAAACATGTAGGCCACATTGCTAAATCATGATGGTCTCAAGGGAGGAAAGAACTTTACTTGCTTTATCATGTGCGGCCTTTGTTACAAACCAACAACCAAAAGGATGGAGTTGGGGAAAGGAAACAATTGTCCATCCTACTGACTTGGTTGGTTCTTCCTACCTGTTTTTCCTCCTCTTCATCTGAAGCACTAGGGACACGGGTGACATTTCTGCTGGGTCCGCTGAGTTGGGAATCTTCCAGCTTTTCTTGTCTGGACTTGTTCTTCTGATCTGTTGTGTTTTCCTCATCACTTCCTGGATTATTTTTCCATTCTTTCATCATTTCTAACACGTTGGCTGGTCTTGCCGAAGAAAGTGTATTGCCCTAATATTAACAATGAATTTTTGGTGTTATAAATAGTTTGGAAAATTAAGAGCGTTCTTACATCTTTTAGTAATATATTTTCTTTAAAAATTATAGAAAAATTATCATTTTGAATAAGTGGCAAAACTGATGCCTGTTGGAACACACTCCCTGTGTGAAAAGGACACCAGACAGGGCAATTCCCTGGACCCAAAGACCCCCTTACATTATGGTTCCTACAAAAGTATTAGAGAAGCTGAAAGAAAGAAAGAAACTCCCCAATGTCTAGTGGGCCCAATACTAAGGGCAAGCCTGTATAATAACCAACTGTCCAGGTAAAATATAAATTCAGTTGATTAGTCAAGCGCTGTGTCCAAGAATATAAATGTTCGATCTGAAAATCCTTAGTTGACTGGAAGATTTAGCTATAAGGTGGTTATTTGATTATAACTGATTCAGTGTACTGTTTTTATCCCAGCTATGACAAACAATACCAAAACTGACCATTTTACAGTAACTAGATTTTTCTCAAATATTCAATTTAATGCCAAGAAATACTTGAATGCAGTCTCAAATGGCTTCTGCTAGACTAGGTATGCCTCAAATACTTTTTCTCCTAACTCGGACTAGTAGAGAACGTTTGGACAAGAAGTTTAGATCACATTTCGATTAAAATGGGAAGTTCAGATGTGAGTACAGCTAGGGAGTGATTCTAAATTAATTTGGGGTATGGGTGGACTGAAGCATAAGCGTCAGTGACACAGAACACTATGAGACAGGACACTTTAAAGGCTTAGAGGCAGTTATTTGAGTACACTTTTGAGGATTTGTAGAGTTTAATGTATTTGTGGTTAAAGGCAAACATTAAGCAGTAATAACTAAACGAGGATCATTATGCAATTAATTCTCCATGGTTCTTTTATTTCATCCTGTTTCAAGGTCTATGTTCTTATCAATTTCATAGTATCCTACTTTTGACTGCACATCCTCTACCATTTACTTCCAGAATGCCCTAACCATGCCTTCCGCCAACCCAGAGCCTACATTCCTTCAAGGCTCAATTTGAGAGTCATCTCTGTTAAGTATCTCAGAACTTCCAAAGATGCTGTCAACTTAAATTCAAATAAAGCACATAAAGAGGCTCAAAGACCATGAAAGAGTTGAAATCATTTAGAATGTAGATAGTCTCAGAGCTCTCATCTGAATGAATTCTGGTCTCCAAAGCTCAGTCTATAGCTCTTCTGGACTCCTATGATCTATCTAGTCTCTATTACAACTTCCTGGCTTCATCTTGACTTTCAACCTCAAATTTCATGTAATCACAGGGTCCAGAGTCCTAACATGCTAGTACACACAATTTTCCTCAACTTGATTCCTTCACTAGCAAACAGAGACAGTCTAACATGTATGTCTGTAATCCCAATCTTCAATTATCCTTCCCTGATAAACTCCCTGTAAATGAATTCTTTGGATACTATAGTAGTTACTAATGCTGCTCACCCAACATTCCTTTCTTCTTCTTCTTCTTCTTTTTTTTTTTTTTTTTGCTTAACTCTTACCCAAGGATATTTTTCATTGATTTTTAGGTAATGAATAGAGTGGAAAGAAGGGAGGGAGGGAGGGAGAGAAACCTCGATGTGAGAGAGACACACATCCTGCACTACCCCGACTGGGCAGGGATCAAACCTGCAACCCAGGTACGTGTCCTTGACTGGAATTGAACCCAAGACCCTTCGGTCCACAGGCCAATGCTCTAACCACTAAGCAAAACTAGCCAGAGCCAACATTCCTTTTTTCTAAGCACTTGGTAGAATTCTCTTCCTCGTTTGAGACATGACCATGAGACTTGTTTTGGCCAGTGAAATGTGATGAAAATGGTATGTATCTCTTGATGGTGGAAACTTTAAGAGATAGCATGCAATTTATCATGTTCCCAGTTCCTGCCTTAGTAACTGTAAAGCACAGAAATGAGGCCTCCCTCAGCCTGGGTCTCCGAGTGGGTACAGAAATGAGGACTCCCCTCCTCCCAGCCAATGCAAAGGAAGGCATCAAGAGCACTGAGATTTGGGACCACTTGTTACCACAGCATAATCTAGCCTATCCTGATACAGATAACAAATAAACATTTACATTCTGTAAGTTACCTCTAAAAAGCCTTAAAAGAGTGAGCCTACTTCACAACCAGCATACCTAACAGAAATCACATGCCGTCAGAGCCATGTATTTGGAAGCCCACTTATTTAGGCACTCCTTGCTTTGCACAGTCCTAGGATACATGAATTTCAGTCATTGTGACTTAGGTTAAATAATAGCAACAACGTTGTTCAAAGTGTAGTCACCATGGTATATTAACGATAACCGCATAAAATTCAAATTCCACTACCAGCTCTTTCATCCAGAATCACTATGCAAATGACAGATGTGCATTATGATGAGTGACCAAGCACTTCTTGCACAATCTGTTGGTGGCTGGACACTGTGCACCTGCTACTAAGCACACACGGACAGCAAAGTGTGCAGCTGTGCTGTCTCCTTTCTCCCAGGGAACAAAGATGAAACTGCAGCAAAGAGACTGAAAGTGATCATTCTGGAAGTGACACCCAAACCAGATGCACATGCAGTGATAGCAGAACTGCTGACTATGGGAACAACGACACTGCCACTGCTTGAGAGAATCCAGATGCACAACCAAAGAAACTTAGTGAAGGCAAAGTCATCAACGTAAGTGCAGAAAGTGGTTGTGACAGAAGGGATGACTTTGCCCCAGAGAAAGTGACGCCTGCAAAATATTTGACATTTAAAGAATTTTCAGAGATATTTCAAAACACTAAAGGCACAAAGGGTAAAATGTTGGGAGTGGATCCAAACTCAGAAAAGAGTATGGCAATTTTCCAAGGCCTGAGAAAGATGCTCCCCTCTGTACTCTGAGTTACATGACAAGAAGGCAAGTACTATTTAAACTAATCTCAATGACGTTTTTTTACCAAACAGTAAGACTCTTTAATTCTCAATATTTCTAATGTTTTAATTACAGTGCATCAAATATAGTAGTTCTACTTTTATTTAATTCCTTACATGTTTACAACCAACAATTAGAGCGTTTTCAATATTTAATAAAAATTTTAAAAATCATGGAACAATCATTATTTTTCCACTGATTATTCAAATCATTTGCACGGTTTCAAACTGCACTATTTTTATGGTCCTGCACTCCCGTGCAAAGCAAGGACTGCCTGTATTATCTTGAATCTGCCTCTCCAGCAATCTCTCAAATGTCCAGTTTACAAACACGTACACCCAAGAATTTGGTGACTGACACTCTACGTGCCGAAAGTAGAGTGCCTTTGTACTCAATGAAATGACCCTATTTCTCATTCCAAAGAGAATACAGAGAAGAGCAAAGGATCTAAAATAGGAGCTTTCCCTGTTGTCTGGAGTCCAGCCAATAATTCACTAGACTATCCCCTCCTTGCTGTCAGTAGTTGGAAGAGAAATTACGTCAAATGTTTGGACTGACCAATGAATAAGTGGCCCAGGGCTGTGTGTCATCAGCCTTCCAGGTTCAACAGAAATTACAAATGAACCAATGAACCAAATAAAAACGAGTGAAATTGCCCTGGCCAGTGTGGCTCAGTTGGCTGGGCATCATTCCACGCATTGAAGGGTTGCTGGTTTGATTCCCCACCAGGGCACATGCCCAGGTTGTGGACTTGATCCTCAGTGGGGAGCATGCAAGAGGCAGCCAATCGATGTTTCGCTCTCACATCGATGTGTGTGTCTCTCTCCCTCTCCCTTCCTCTCTCTCTATAAATTATTTTTAAAATATTTTTTTAATGGGTAGAATTGTTAGGACAGATACTGTAGACTGTATGCACCTCATCAGAACACTGTTCCCTGAACTCCCTTTACTGGCTGTATTCAGGGGGTCAGACACTGAACTCATCAACTATGAGGGAGCAAATGGCAAGAAGGCAGGAGTAGGCAGATAATAGGCTGTCACAGGTACAAAATAAACCTTTTGGGTAATAAATTCCACCTGTTTAGCAGATAGTTGAGACGATTTTATGAAAAACTGGGAAAAGGGACATTCATGGAGGAGAAGCACTGGTTAAATACTAAGATTTGGGTTTAATACCTTAGTAGACAAATTCCATAAATGCAAACCCAAATATATGTCCTCATCTAACAAAATCTACCTTTTCAAGGACAGTGCCTATAAGTATTTTGTAAACAACAGTTTTTGTTTTTTTAATCCTCTCCTGAGGACATTTTTCCACTTTTGTTTAAATAGAGTAGAAAGGAGAGAGAGGGAGAGAGACAGAGAGAAACATCAATGTAAAAGAGACACATTGAGTGGCCGCCTCCCACATGACCCCAACCAGGGCCGGGGATGAACTGCAACCGAGGTACGTGCCCTTGGCCAGAACCAAACCTATGACTCATTGGTCCGCAGGTCAACGCTCCAACTGCTGTGCTAAACAGTCCAGGGCAACAATAGGTGTTCTTTTTGGTATGTGCCCCTAGCAGGAACCGAACCTGGGACTCTCTGGTCTGCAGGCCGATGCTCCAACCATTGAGCTAAACTGGTCAGAGCCGTATTTTTTAAATGCAAGAATGATATGTATAAGCTAGGGTGAGATGATATCAAACATAAAATTGGCAAAATTAAAAGGAAACATTCTGGTTCTTTAGCTTATAGTCATCATTGTCTACTTTTAAAAGCTAGAACTCGTCATTTGGTAATGTTCCTAGGAATAATAATTTGCAATAGAAAAATGGAATAGTTCATTTATTTTAAAAAACATACAAAATCCAGATCAAAGCAATGAGATGCCAATTTTTACTTGATAGATGGATATGAATTTAAGTTTGATAACACACTGTTGGTGAGGGTGTGGGGAAACAGGCTCTCTCCTTACTTGCTTTTAATGGAAGGGATAATTAGCAATAACCTATGTGAAATGCATATTCTCTCTGCCCAGTAATTCCACTGTTAAGAATTTATCCTATAGATATGTTGA